TTTCTGCTTTCCTTTTACTCGGGGGCATATCTTATTTTTATAAGCTCACTTAACTGAAAATTTGTCAACACTTGAGAGAACCAAAATACTGAATACTAGCATGCAGAATAAAGATCAATATATCATCTATATATGTATAGCCTCAACATTCTATAACAAACAATTTGATCACCAAAAATACTTAGAAAACACAACATTAACCAAAATATATAACAACCTTGTTCATCAAACACCATGGCACCAAAAACACAAATAACAACACAGTAACTTATAAAAACTTCTATTCAAACAAAATCTAAGGTTTTACATGCAATGACGACAAAGATCAATCCACGTAAAAGATGTGCATGATCACACTCGCTAACTGATTCAGTTATTACAAACTGTCGCAAGCTTAAATGTACGTATAATTTCAGGCTAAAAATTACCCTCTCTTTTCATCATTGTGTGCCCACAGGTACAACCCTGACATGTCAAGGTGGAATCTAAGTTACACTTTTGTAAATCCAACAAATCGCACATATAAATTGATATCTTCGTATTCCTTTTGTTGCAGACTTCAGGTTCCACGAGCTCCCACGTCAACACTTGCTAGAAAAAGAAGGAAGATTTTTAAGCGGCATTTTCAAGCACGTTCATCATTTGTGTGATTTGGAACTTCATTTTGGCTGTCCAGAGGCATGTATTGCGCCATTATGGCTCGTATCTCTGAATCCATGTACGACTGCAAATGCAAATCAAGAAAAAATTTATACATGTTAGATTTTTAAGCAATAAAAATTTGAGAGAGAGAGAGAGATATTGATGCACGCACATATAAGATGGGGTTATCTAACTGAAAATACCCCACATTTCCCTTTTTTAACAATTCTAACTCTATTGTTAGATTTTTGTAACTAAATACAGAATGCTGGATGTTTCAAGAACAAATAACTGATGGCCTTTCTTGAAGAGTAATTCAAGCTATTAATAAAAAGAAAAAGACAAAGAAATAAATATATAAAGTTGAATTTTTAATTGCAAAAGAAAAGGAAAAGATAGGAAGAACGGAATATTGTCAGAAGCTATATCTGAATGGGGGGGAAAAATTAAAAAAAAAAAAGATTATTTAGTTGCCAATATTTAAAAGCTGAATTATGATTTAGCAGCCAATATTTAAATATTATATTAATATAAACTCCAAATCCCACTAAACAACTAACCGTACCAACTTTTTCAAAATTAATCATGATTAACCAAAAAAATTCATTTCAAGCAGATTTATTTGTATCCAAGCACGCCTTAAAAGACTGGGTATCTTTCGGTAACAAAGACAAACAACTTGTAAAATGATTTGAGCAGCTGTTAGTTGCAATATTCAAAGAGCTTAATGTTTTAAAAAACATACCCTCAGCCGATATCTGTACACAAGATATGCCCCACCTGCAGCCACAGCTAGTCCAATAAATATGACCCAAACAGCTGTCCATGCAGACTTGACCTCGCTAGCCCTTTTACCTGCTTCACCACAAATACAGACAAGGAATGAATGGAGGATTAGAAGTGCACTCAAATGGGCTCAAAAAAAGAAAAATAAATGCAAGTGAACTAACTGATGCAGGTGTCATGGTCTTTAATGTACAAAAGGTCTCCACTACACGTGCATTCATAACTGCCCCATGTATTCTTGCAGCTGCACTCGGGGCATTGGCAGGCTTTTTTCTCACTACATTCGTCGATATCTGTAAATTTCAACAAATATAGGGGTAAAGATGGGAAACTACAAAGAGTAGAGAAATTCAAATTATCGTGTGAGCCTTTTACTCCTGATGACGATATGATTTATCTAATCATATTTTTCTCAAATATCTCATGCATCTTTTTTTTCTTTTTATTATTATTATTATTATTATTATTATTATTATTATTATTATTATTATTATTATTATTATTATTCCATATTTATCTTTCAGAAAAGATTAAGATAATTGAAAAAAAAAAATATTAACTGACCACACAGGCAGTGTAAGTGACTCCATTTTTGCTCTCGTGCCAACAGCCTCCGTTACTGATTTTGCATCTCCCAGGTCCACTTGCTGCAGATGGAGAGTGTTATTTGAATATTTTCCAAAAAAATGGAAAAAGAAAAAAAAAAAAGTAAACAGAATCAAATTAAGTTTACATACCAACACAGGAAGTATAGCCGTCTCCCTTAAACTGCACACCATTGACTAGAGGGCACTCACACACTCTTCCTCTGAATGTGTCCTGATTATGCATACACATATGTTAAAAAATTATGAAGATCTATAAAAAGGACAGGAAAAAAACGAATTAAAGTAAAACTATAGTGAATACCTTGCATGCTGTAATATTTGCAGCCTTGTCATGCCAGCAGCCACCATTATTATCCAAGCACTCATTTGTCTCCACGTCTGCAGTAAAAAATGAAAATAAAAATTCATGTATACACATAACAAATTATAGTCACATGCTGATTATACATACGATTTATAAATATCATACCATCACTTAAACAAACAGCCGGTTCTGTAGTTTCCTCAAAACCAGCACATAAGGCTTTTAAAACTGCACCTTTTTCCAATTTCCCTGTACAACACGCACGTTAGAGATACCAGTAGTTTAGATATATAAATGGAAATTACATTAGGGAAAATTCAAACCTCGATACTGTCGATTATTAACAACCAGGGTAGGCAATATGGTTACATCACCACGCGATCCTTTGCCAACCTACAAGAAGCGCCTAATTCTGAGACATTTAACATAATCACCATCAAACAAAATGCTTACAAATATTTGTTGTAGCACTCACTTGAGCATCCTGTTCTTCTTTCAGCACAGGGTTCTCTGAATCAGCTTCAGGATCACCAATGCATTTTTCAATTTTTTTTAGATCAAGCTCTGCCAAGCAAGCATCATTAGTATATGATTAGGGATTAAGCACAATTACTACCTTCGAGGTTCAATCTTAAATAAATAAAAGAGTTATGTTTCAAAATTACATCAAAACCATATAACACATATTGCTAAATTGCACCTCCTGAGGGTGATAGATCATTTAAGCAAGTACAAACTTTAAAGAGATATTTGTAGTTCTAGAAGATCATTAGACCTCTCAAGGAATTCTGTAATGGTTGGCTGCTAACAGATATGGTAATTTTATCCATTCTTGTTGGAAAATGAAATAGGAGAAGTGAATCAAACTAAAAAATTATAAACAATCATGACCTGAAAAAAACGACAGTCAAAACCCTCCTCGTATATTTAAGTCAGTTTACATGTCTAATATTCCCAATAAATGGAAAAGAAAAACAAAAAAGGGAAAAAAATGGACAATGGCTGAAAAAAAAAAAAAAACACA